CTAGCTCCATGGTAATGAATATTGGTTTAAGTAGGACATGGGAATGTTTTTCTGCCAGAGCATTCAACCAATATTCCTCTAAAAGTGCGTTTTTATAAGATATTCAACTAGTAAAACAGGTATGGAAGCTGGGAGGGCCATCAGAGGAGATTAATAGAAAGTATGTGCAAAGTCTCAAGACTAAAAAGAATTTATAATTGAGGCAAACAGCATGCAAAAACAGCTAATGATGATGATGTAAATATAGGTGAGATGATGTTGAAAGGTCATAGATGACACGTTAAGAAACTTTTATTGCGGTACACTGAAGGGATTTTCAAAACATGGAGTAATATCAAGTTAGCATCTTTATAGGTAAATCATGCTGAATCTAAAGATGGTTTTAGATTCATGCATTAAAAAACTTACCGGTACTTGAAAGCCTAGTATGTTCTGAACACTGGGACTGCACTGTCTGAAACAGGTACTGAGCTCAGGTGAGAGGTAGGAGCAAGGGACTGTCACCTTTATGGATAGGCTTTGAAAGTATAGAAATAGATAAAACCATCTTAAAACAATTAATAGTTTTAAAGTTATAAAACCCTGGAGAACACCAACATTTAACATTTGTTTAGCCAAAATACCAGGTGGTTCTTTAGAAAGATAAATATTGATCTAGTTCCTTAATAAGCACGCACTTGATTCCATTTGTTAAAGGTAGTGAAACCTTAGAGCAGTAATACCTAGCCCTATAAAATATGTAAGCTAGAAAGAAATGGTTACTTCTTGTTCTATTGCTATTTATTGGTTCTCAAAATTTTGTTTAAAAGGTAGGACATAGTTGATCTATAACCCATGTGGATGCCCTGAAGTTTCCTGTGAAGAATGTTGACATTCCTCTGATCATATCCCTCTAGATTAGTCATTGAGATATCCTTTAAAACCTTGTTAGCAGTTTTGGCATTGAGTGCAATCAACTTCCAGAATAGGACTGCCCCTCTCATCCCTCTAATCGTGTTTTCACCTTTAGAAAATGTCAATGTTCAGTATCTCTTCTATTCCAGACATCTTTTAAGTAACAACTCATTCATGTAACCTTCCCTAATCAAGGAAGCCCTTAACCCGTACCACATTTGCTACTTAAATATTTTAATTGCCTTATAGTATTTGGCTTTGTAGTTCAATTTTCTAATAAGGTATGTTCCAAAACCATTTCCTTATACTCCCTTTTATCTTAAACTTACTGCCTAATTATACTGTCCTTAATATTCATGTGCTGGGGTGTCAATGTCCTCTTAAGAATGCACTTAAGAGAACAAAAGTTATTCTTTTACTATGATAGGAGACTCATTTTCTGTAACATTTTAAAATGTGGCAATTCAGATTCAAGAAAAGGCAACAATTGCCCTGGCTGGGTAGCTTAGTTGGTTAGAGCATCATCCCAATACACCAAGGTTTTGAGTTCGATCGCCGGTCTGAGCACATATAAAAATGAACCAATGAATGCACAGATAAGTGGAACAACAAATCGATGCTTCTCTCTCTAACCCCCCCCCCCCCCCAAGAAACACACAATTGCATTTAGTAACAGAAAATTCCTTTTTAAAAATATATTTTATTGATTTTTTACAGAAAGGAAGAGAGAGGGATAGAGTTAGAAACATCTATGAGATAGCGAATCATTGATCAGCTGCCTCTTGCACACCCCCTACCGGGATGTGCCCGAAACCAAGGTACATGCCCTTGACCGGAATCGAACCCGGGATCTTTCAGTCCACAAGCTGATGCTCTATCCACTGAGTCAAACCGGTTTCAGCAGATTGTTCTTAAGTTTCCCCCAATTAACTTCAGAGGAATTCTTATTAACAAATACTTTTTAGCCTATTTAAAAACTTGAATAACAATGCCCCCCTCAGAACATCCTTCATTAGCAATAGCTATAGGCAGGCATGTTTATCAACTGAAGGTAAATTATGGCATGTATAATAGAATTTACCCAACAGGTATCTGGTTGTGTCTGATGCCCAAGGATTTTCCGACATCACGTAAAAACCTGATTCAAGAGAAGTTAGAAAACTATCCAAGTTATTCTAATTCCTCCTCCTACATGCACTGGAACTTAGCTGCAATACCTCAAATTGATGTAAAACACCCATAAACCAAGTTTTCACTATAGGAAATTAGTTTGTTTCAAAATTTAGTTGATGTGGTACTCTAGAGCAATTTCCTTATTCTATAATATACATGGTGACTATCTTTAGATAGACCCATCAAAAACCTAGTTTCAAAAATGTCAAATATGACTAAAGTACTTTAGAATCTCTAAGGCCATCAGTGATCTCATGATGGCCTTCTAGTTTTTTGACTCACACTATTTGAATTAAATACTTACTCTCAATTTTTATTTCCATGGTTCCCAACTCTTACTCCTAAATGATTCACAACCACTCTTCACCTCAGTGATTGTCCCAAATTCGTCATCACTCTAAGTTGTTTTCCCATTTATTCTACCTGCACTCTTTGCCATCTGACCATCAATAAATTTGTTGGATGGAATTCATCGGAATGATACTTATTAACTAAGCAGGGTGGTGAAAGAAATCATTAAGTGGGAGTATTTTGTTGTGATATGTAGTATCCCCACTGTTAGTCTGGTCAACAAACACTAACAATTGGGAAATAAAGATACTGGGATCCCACTGGTATTTTATGATCTTTACATGGGGAGAAAAAGATTCCATTTGTTAAGAGAACATTTCACAAATAAAAATTTCATCTTTCCCAAACTAAGGTATAGTGAAAACTTGTCTATAGTGTAGTACAAATAATGTATACAAAATGTTAGTTATTTTGTGTATATTATAAATGACAACTTCAGGACTATTAATACTTAGTTCTTGAAAACAAGCAACTCTTATTCTTGGCCCACTTTTGTAAAGGAAGAAGATGTTGATGTCAAGCCTGCAAAAAAAAGTGAGGCTCCGTTTACTCATAAAGTGAATATGAAAGCTAGATTTGAACAAATGGCTAAGGCAAGAGAAGAAGAAGAACAAAGAAGAATTGAAGAACAGAAGTTACTACGCATGCAATTTGAACAAAAGGAAATTGATGCAGCACTACAAAAGGTACCAAACATAGCCTTTATTTTCCAAAGATGCTCTTAAGTCAGTTCTATATGAGGGGTAAAAAAAATTGGAAACATTTTATAGTTATTTTTACTGTACCTTTTGGTTAGATGTTTACATATTTAAATAGTTACAACTGCCTACAGTATTCAGTACAGTAACAAGTTTATTGCTTAGAAGCAATAGGCTATACCATCTAGGTTTGTGTATATGCACTCTATGATATTGGCTCAAGGACCAAATCACCTAATGATGCAGTTCTAAGAATATACTGATGTTAAGAGGTACACAACTGTACTTACATGCTCTTGACTCTGAGGGCAAAAAAACTCCCAAGACCTACTTACCTCAAAGATTATGATTAAACTACTGTCCTGAAAATGCTGCTATACTAAAAGTGACCACTTGAATGTATTAATTTTAATATAGAAAAGAGAAGAGGAGGAAGAAGAGGAAGGTAGCATCATGAATGGCTCCATTATCGAAGATGAAGAGCAAACCAGGTCAGGAGCTCCATGGTTCAAGAAGCCTCTGAAAAATACTTCGGTTGTAGACAGTGAGCCTGTTAGATTTACAGTTAAAGTAACAGGAGAGCCCAAACCAGAAATTACATGGTGGTTTGAAGGAGAAATATTGCAGGATGGAGAAGACTATCAATATATTGAAAGAGGAGAAACTTACTGCCTTTATTTACCAGAAACTTTCCCAGAAGATGAAGGAGAGTATATGTGTAAAGCTGTCAACAATAAAGGCTCTGCAGCTAGTACCTGTATTCTTACAATTGAAAGTAAGAGCTAATCACTTAAAAAAAATCTAATACTTTTATTCTATTTAAAAAAATTTCCCTTTAAAAAGAATTACTTTTCTTCTTTTTTAGCTGATGACTACTAGCTCCCCTTCCCTCTGCCTGGAACTCTCTCTCTCCGACTTTCTTACTACATCCATCTTTTCTGTGGCGGGGCCAAAAAAGGAAACCAGAAGTGCCACAATGTTGACTTCTTATTCCTTTTCATAACAGTCTTCAAAACACAAGCTCATCTAAAGAATACCTTCCTCCTTTCCAAATGAGCACCAGATTCATCGCCAGATTATACATAAGTTAATGCACATTTAATGGGGAAAGTGGGAAATTTACTCAATTATATCAGAATTTAGGCTGTGCATTTACCATAAGTTCACAGCAATATTTAAAAGTATCAAAAACAACACATTATTTTGCATGAAAGAATGCCATCAATGAGCTATTTACAACTAAAATTAGTCTGAAATAGCCGAGATAGTGAAGTTGGAGCCTATCAATTTGAGTGGGAGTTTCCCCTTAGTACATCATTTAGGCTGTAGTTTCAGAGCTTTTCTGAAGTAGATGTAGGATGGGGTTGGGAATACCACTCTTTTTATGGGTGAGGAGAATGGAGAAAAACACAAAATTAAAGACTTCTAAGAAACAAATGCCAGAGAAAACTGGATGAAAACCACTGCCTATACAAAGTTCTGAATGCTAAGAATATTAAATATACTTTTCAAATGTGTGTAATATATGTTCAAGCTTATAAAACCAATTTATGTTGTGACCTTGCCTAATAAATGACATTTCAATGAGAAACTCTGTATTAGTAGTCACACAGTAGAAAACACTTTCAACATAATTGAATATTTTAAGATCCTAGAATATTTGGGGAGGGGGGCGGGGAGGGGATGGCACAATCTTCAATTTTAAATTCTGGTCTTTAAAATGAGTTTGTAAATAATTAGCTACCATGTTCTATCATCAAGTTGTTTTATATTTTAATTTTCTGGAAGACAATTTTGTTTTACAATGTAAACCCATAATAAAGTAACTTCTATATTTAAAAAAAAAAAGTCTCAGTATTTTAAAAAAGACAAAACACTCCCTTATAATATTCATCAATGTACATTTATTTTTTTATTGAGGAAACCATAATACAAAATTACAGCAATCACGTGTCCTTTTACATACAATGTTATTAAAGCAAACTCTAAACCACAGTTTGTAAAGTATTCAATTTACCTCCAGTCCAAGCTGCATCTCCCTAAGACACTGTTCCCATCACAGTAGCCATTTTAAGCCAATCTTCTTTTTACACACGGGTAGTTTCTGTAGAGAACACTTTTCTCAGGACGAAAATGCATTGAGCATGCATAAGAAAAAAAATATATATGTGCAAGTACATTTAAGAGTTTCTATAGGGGTATAAATGAAGAAAATAAAACCCTGGGATTTATTTGCTTCTCAGAAACACCAATGTAAAAAAATCCCTCAGAAGTTTATACTGTGGCAATAAAACTCAAGTGACTAAACAAAAATAAGGTTATTTTCAGAGTCAAAATTATCTTCTAGGTATTGTTAAAATACATTTTAAAATGAGGCAGAATTTTCAAGCACTAAAAATAAGACATCCTCATTGATTACTAATTTCTATATCCCTATTCTAAACAACAACTTCGCAGATAGAACTGATTCTCTTGGCAGAGTATTCACACAAATGAAATGTTATCCCTCCTGTGTATATTCCTATTTCTCTATTAAAGTACCCTGCTGCTTCTACCCAAACCCACATTACTGAATTAACTATCAAGGTATTTGTCTAACAATATATTTTACAATGTCTATAAACAACTAGTATTAAATGGCTAGTTCTAGTTTTAAAACCATTTGTTAAAATAAAAGCATACTTCTCATTTCTAAAAGAAACATCAAAACATAAGAATTCTAGGTATCACACTAACAGATCTTTTAAAAAAAATTTCAAAATTTTAAGTGCAAAATAAATCAGTTCAATTTCAATCTAACTAAACATTGTTTCTACCACTCCTAATACCCACTGCATTCAAACCAACTGGCTCACCTTTTCTGCTTTCCATTAATTTCAAGGTTAAAGTTAGCTCCATTAAAAAAATGCTTGCAGTATCAGTGAAGGCTTGTGGTAATGATATTCTCATAAGACAGAAACAATGCCCCAGTATCTATTAGCATTCATCTATATTTTCTTTTGTAAAAATGCAAGCTACAGCTAACCTAAAATTGACAATCTCTTCAAGTTCAAAGAGCTCCTTTATATTATCTTAACATACCTATCATTGACTATCAAACACACACACACACACACACACACTCACACAAGGTGCAATAACTACATTAACTTATGAAACTTAACAGTTCATGGAACATTTAAGAGCAAGTGAATAGCACTTTAAAATGAAGTGATCAAAAGCAGGTACATTATACCCTATACCATATCATGTATGGGAATACATTTCATATTTCTCAATTATGATTCGCCAATTTTACCTTCTACATTGAGCCCTTCTATGGTCCATGCTCATCGGCTCACCAATGGCATACACTCAAAGGATTCCTCTTTATGGGTAACTATCTCAGGACCTGATTTTATGAGCTATGATTTGGTGCTTGCAGCATCTTCAGCACTGTGTGTGAAAATGAAGGCAGTATTTTTGAATATTTTTCTTTGTTGTAGAGATAAGCAGGAGTTTTAAAAGGATCAGCACATTTTAGAAATATTATAAACAAAACTGATAAGATGCTGCTTTAAAACATTCATCTTAACTCAAAATATGTACCAGTTAAAATCATCAATAAGAACACACAAACATTTTAAACTGGCAAAAAAATGAAATTCAGCGTCAGTTATTAAAATACTATAAGTCAGAAAAATACTGGTTGCTACACAGATTATGCAAAGTTATTTGCTAAACAGTTACCATTTCACTGATGCACATGCTTTTTATAAAAACATACTGCCAGTTTTCTTTATAATTTTTTCTTTTTTCAGTGTATATTAAAGTTTTAAAACCCAAACTTGCCTAAAAAGGAGACATAATAAAACTCTCATCCATAATGGCCTTACTGAATTGTTCTAGTTCAAGAATAAGAAAAAAATAAAGACTCCGTAGCTTTGGAGGGCAAAGAAAATGTCCTATCAATCTTAGACTGTGAAGGCTGTTGAACTTTCTAATCAAGTGACTTCCTAAATCTTAAAATCTATATAATTGCCTTTTCTTAAATGTAACAATTTTTCTATGGGAAAAGATTACAAAGGGTGATGTAGTTCAATTACAGCAGCAATCTACTCATCATTCTTTCTTGTTTAATAAAATAAAAAACATTACCTAGAAATGTAAACAGCTGTTTGAACAACTTACAGACTTTCCACTGAAATAGTAGCATAAATAACAAGGTGCATTTTGGGGAAGCAGTAGCAGATTGCTTTGGAATACACAACCACAAAAACCTCACAGGGACAACATTAATGTATTGAAATATTTATTTATATATGTCCTTAGGTTGTGCTTACCTGTTGCTTTTTGCAGCAGAACCTAAGGTGGAAGGTCTGGGAAGGCACTGTGAAGCATAAATAATTGCACTGTTTGCAATTAATAAAGATTTTAAAGTTTAAATGAATCAAAATCAACAGCCTCCAATTTGTGAGTTATGATAATGAATCTAACTGAACTACCTCTTCAGTTTAATAAATGTACCACTTTCCTAAAGGTCATCTATAAAACAGTATCATGCAAAATACTGAAATTGTTCATGTCAATACCCTACTCTTAAAGATAACAAATTAACTCCCTAAGGATTAAGCTTCAAACTAGAGCTTCATATCCATATCTACATAAGGGTAATGGAAGTCACTCTAACTTCTATAAAACAATCAAAAACATTTCAAAATATTCACAATGAACTGTACTGCTAATTTTCTATCCTAGGTAATCTCAACATTTGTTTTTGTACATCTTCTTTTACAGTATATTTAAAACAATAAATGGTGCTCCCTATCAATGATGAAATGGTGTTAAAACTGCTATATTGCTTAATATATTTGCAAACTGAAAACCACTTCTGTCTGATACATTTCAAGTCTTTCATTATTAATATACAAAATATGCATATATTATATTGAGAACAATATATTTTAGGAGCACCAATGAGTAATACTATTCAGTTTTGTTAATGATCAGTTTTCTTTAGCTATAGCTAAAGTATATAAAAAATACTTACCCATTGAGCTCACTTAAAAAAAAAAGACCTATGTATTATTCTATGTTAAATTAAGAAGCAGTTATGGTTTTCCAAGATATCAGCACTGTATTCCAACATAATATTCACACAAAGTATGGCATTTACATTATGTGGAACATTGACAAAAAGATACTGTTGCAGTTCATCAATTTGTCATTCTGATGTACTTACAGTGCAATGCTCCTTGAAGGAACACAATCAAGGATGATACACAGCTCAGTCCTCCTCACCCCTACAGAGCTAGTTCTATACTGGCTCGATCAAACCTGCACTTCAACAGACAATGGCAAGACAGACTGTATTTGCATGTAGTCTAATATATTAATATGCAAAGAGCCAACAAATATGCAGAGTAAAACAATGGATTTCAACAAAATATCAAAACTTCAGCATGAGTGTCATAGAATAATAAAATGATTTCAAGTACATAAAAAAATTAAGTTGATTCAATGACTGGACTTGTGCATTAACAAAACAAAGCTTATCTATACTGCAAAAAAAAAGAGAGCTTGAACATTTCCATATCCCAATAATGTTTCAATGGCAGATGAACTATAACTATTATACTTTTTTGCAAACTATTCACTTTTCTATCCTTAATTTAGAAAGAAACACACTAATATCGTATACATTGAAAGAGTTGCTTCACATGAAAAAAAAAACAACACAAAAAACTGTTCTTATTAGACTATTCATATTCACTATCTGAAAACTGTTTAAAGTTAGTTATGCTGAAACAGTCTTGGAAATTAAGTAATTAAGAACAGAAAGGTTAACTGTTATAGCAGCAGTACAGGTCTGAAACAGTGGTCATGTATAAAAGGAAATTTCACTGTTAATTCAATGGAAGTATGCCAAAAGATCATTGTACACACATGCAGTTTTTAATCAAACAGAAAAAAAGAAAAAAGGAAAAAAAAAAAAAAACGATATCAGGATTACTTGTGCTGAAACAGCCAAATACAATAAATGGAAAAGATCCTCCAATCTATTACTATACTGTAAGGGGGGAAAAAAAACATGCCAGTGTTTAAAAATTCAATTAATATTTCACGGGGAAAGCTTATATATTTGTGTAAATGTATCTTAATTTATCATTGGTAAGAAATTATGAATTCTTTAAATACCCACATATCCAACTTACCGACACAGGAGGTTTCATATCATTTATTGTAAAGCACAAAACAGGCATTTTAAAAGTGAAAGTATACATTGAAAAAGTACATTTATATCACAAAGCATTGACCACATAATAGTTGCAAATACATTTGCTGGAATGTGTACATCTACACTAAATACTAAAAACAAACCAATTTTCATTTCTACACAGAAATATTAACCTCCTATCAGTAGTGATAGATATTTTGTACATTTTCAAAAGAAAAAAAAAAAACTACTATTTTAAACCAAAAACAAAATTAAGATCTTCATCAAGTCGTCTGCATCCATATATTTAACAAAGGTATTTTTCCCCCACACAATGAAGCAAATACTGTATTGTCCACTTCTTATTATTGGCCCTGTGCAGAAGAGATACATAAGAAATACACAAAAAGTTAAAGAAAATCCTTTAAATGGAGCTAACTCAGGAGTGAATCCTTTAAGAAAGAAAAACTGGTTAATATAAATGGTGGTGGCTTCTTGCATGATTTGCAAATCCCTGGGGGAAAAAAATTTATTTTTAAAATTAAAGGCATTATAGAAATATTCAGCACTCAGATGCCATAAAGCATTATAAAAAACAAAGCTAAAAGCAACCCAACAGTACACCATAGTCCTTCATTTAGTTATATTTTGCCATATAAAAATTAAAAAGGCAAACATAATCAATCCCAAACAAACAAAATAGTAAACATGCAGAAAATATGACTGGAGTTTTTAAAACATCAGCAAATTTATTATACCTGAGGTGCTGGAGGATGCTGTGGCATTCCCTGGGGACTTGTCTGGGCATAGTAGGCTGCTTGCTGTCTATAGTATTCAGCCCAGGCTGCACTATAATCTGGCTGACCACCTGGTGGAGCACCAGTAGGAGCAGGAACTGCTTGACCTTTGAGAAAACAGAACTTTGTTACTGTAACCAGAAATAAAAGACCAAAAGAATCTAATTTCTAATAAAGACAATACCATGCTCCTTATAATATTCCTCCCAAGACTTTGAATAGTTCCATGTCTGCCCTGGTTGATCAAATCCCCTCATTTTAATATACAATTATATCCACTGTAAGTACAGCTTATAAAGACAAAAGCAGAGGATCTGAATTGCTCATTCAAGTTTTCACCAGTGTCAGAAAACCCTGTAATAATACAAAAATTAGAATTTTTAGTAATTTTTTTTGCATTGTATCATCTCTATTCATAAAAAAACCACACCCACATAATTTAACTAAGGTGAAGATATAAACATGATGTTGATTCAATTAAAGAATTTAAAAATGCTTCATGTAAAGTCTATATTTCCCTGGTAGTGACTGGTGGGCAGGGGCCACTATTTTTTTGATCGTTCATTCACGTGTATCTGTTACAGTACCTATTTTAAATAAAATGCAAAGACTATTTTGCATTTTTGAAAAGATTTGTTTCCTGATTAGTAACCTATACACTACATATATGTATAAATTTATGTGTACATTTATACTAATAAAAGGGTAATATGCTAATTAGACCAGAAGACCTTCTGGATAAAGGCGTCGTTGTTGGGGTAGAAGCAAAGGCATTTAGGAGTGATTAGGCCAGGAGGGGAGGGCAGTTGGGGGTAAACAGGCAGGCAGGCATGAGGGGGATGGACAGTTGGAGGCAATCAGGCCAACAAGCGTGTGTGTGTGTGTGTGTGTGTGTGTGTGTGTGAGGGGTGGTAGTTGGGGATGAGCAGGCTGGCAGGCTAGTGGTTAGGATCCTCTGAAGATTTAAAGAAAAAAAAAATATATATGTGTGTACACACACACGGAATATCTCTGGCATATTGCCCATTGTGAAACCACAAGTTGGACATAATGATTTTTAACCTTAACATGCTTAAATCTTTAAAATGGTGAAGACTTAAAAAAACATTAAAAATAAATAAATAAATATATTTTTGTTGACTTTTTACAGAGAGGAAGGGAGAGGGAGTTATAAACAACGAAGAGAGAGAAACATCGATCAGCTGCCTCCTGCACGCCTCCTACTGGAGATGTGCCTGCAACCAAGGTACATGCTCTTGACCGGAATTGAAACTGGAACCTTACAGTCCGCAGGCTGACAACTCTATCCACTGAGCCAAACTGGTTAGGGCTAAAATGGTGAAGCTTTTTCATAGCGAGGTCCTGACCACATTATGATTTCTAGTTATTCCAAATAGCATCCTAGTTTGTACAATTCTAGTTTATGCAATCACTGTAACTACAGTATACTGTTTTGATATTCAAAGGTGTTTTTTTTAAGTGGCTTTTTATAGAGTCTCAGCTGTTATAGAACTACCTGAAATAAACTGGGTCGAAAAAAGTAAATAAATCTTTTATAGCCTGAAGAATAACATGCAGCATGAAACTCATTCTAACAGGGAAAATTATTATTTTTTAAATCGTTATTGTTCAATTACAGATGTGTCCTCCCACCCCACTGACCTCATCCATAGGTGTAAGCTCTTTGTCCAGTCTCTTCCCACACCCTTTTCCCCTGGAGAATTGCCTGTCTGCTCTCTTTCCATGGCCCTGATTCTATTATATTCACCAGTCTGTTCATCAGGTTTTTTTATTCATTTGATTTTCAGATTCACTTGTTGATATGCATTTATTGTCACTGTTTTGTTCATAATTTTTTCTCTTTTTCTTCATCTTCTTAAAGAATACCCTTCAGCATTTCATATAATACTGGTTTGGTGGTGATGGACTCCTTTAAGCTTTTTCTTGTCTGTGAAGCTCTTTATCTGACCTTCAATTCTGAATGATGGCTTTGCTGGGTAAAGTAATCTTGGTTTAGGTTCTTGCTATTCATCACTTTGTATATTTCTTACCACTCCCTTCTGGCCTGCAGAATTTCTGTTGAGAAATCTGTTGACAGTCGTATGGCTAACCCCTTGTAGGTAACTGTTGAATCTCTATATATTCATATATATATAAATAATTGATTTTTTACAGAGGAGGAGAGAGGGATAGAAAGCTAGAAACATCGACCAGCTGACTCTTGCACACCCCCTACCGGGGATGTGCCCACAACCAATGTACATGACCTTGACTGGAATCGAACCTAGGACCTTTCAGTCCGCAGACCGACACTCTATCCACTGAGCCAAACCGGTTTCAGCTGTATATTCTTTATTTCAGTCAGTGTATGTTTCATTTCTGACTGATCATTTTTCATATCCTTGAGAGTCTCACTAAATTTTTCGAAAGGTTTGTGGAAGATTCTTTAAATGGTGGTTTTGAACTCTATATCCAATATTTTGCCTTCATCCATTTCTTTCATTTGTGATTTGTTACTATGTTTGTTTCTATGTACTGGGTAGCTGTTAAGTCTCCTTGAGCTGATAGATGGCTTTGTGTGGTAGGTGTCCTATAGGGCCCAGTGGCTCAGCTTCCCATTACCTGAGGTGGATGATCTTGGTGCACCCCGTTATGGGCTATGTGTACAGTCTTGTACTTAACCCTTGATTGCTATTGATTACACTGAGAGGAATTGACCTCTAGGCCAATTGGCTGTGATGACTGCTGTGTCTATACTGGAAGATCTATTGCACAGAAGATGCCCGTATGGGGCAGGACTTGCTTCAGTGAAGCTTTGGTGCTCACTGAGTCTGTTCCTCGAGTGTGTCCCTTATAGATGTGAAGAGCTGTAATCTGGTATGGTCTCACACTGGCTCTTGATCTCCAAGGAGGTGCCAGGTCAGCCATTGTTTGGGGCCACTCAGCACGAGCTACAGAGGCATCTACAGATCGCTCCTTTTTGTATGGCGTTTGGAAGTGCCCAGATGAGGCCCAGCTGTGAAGCAAGGCAGGCTGCCGCCGCCTGGCTTTGGGCCTTATTTTGGAAGCTCTGGGGCTCTGACCCAGCTGCAGTTCCACAGGTTTTAGGCAGAGAAAGGACAGGCCATTCATATGCAAAAGCAGATGTGCACAGCTTGGGTGGGGTCTCTGGAAATCAGAGCTATGCAAACAACAATGGTTGCCAGTCAGCCCTGCAACAGAGTCCCGGGTCTTCGAGTTGCAGCCCTTATGCAGAATAAGGAGCCCTTATGCAGAACAATGATCTCTGCGAGCACCTCTGAGATAAAGCCACCCTTGTGTTCTAGCCCAATGCTAAATAGTCCAGTTTCTCCCCACATGTGTCTGGGTCCCAGAGTCTTGCCCTGAACTGGAATTCAAAGCAAGCGGGAGCTTGTATCTCCCTTTCAATTAAGAGTAGAATATCTAGGTGCCAGCACTTTCCACACCTCTTATCAGTCTCACGCGCTTTCCTCACTCCTCTAGTTGTGGAACTTCCACTTAGCCAGCTTTTCTGTGATTCTGGGTGTAGTTGTTCTGCCTTTTAGTTGTAATTTTGATGTAGTTTTGAGAGGCAGCAAGTATGATAACATAGGTAAACACCTATACTTGGTTCTCCCTTTTTCAAAATATTTCTTTATTATGATTGCCTAGCCAGAGCACTTCTTTTTTTAGTGCTCTGAATTTTTCTTCATAAAACTGCCTTTAAAAAAAAAATAATAATTTTTAAAAATTGATTTCAGAGAGGAAGGGAGAGAGATAGAAACATCAATGAAAGAGAATCAATGATTGGCTGCCTCCTGCACATCCCACACTGGGATTGAGCCTGCAACCCAGCATATGCCCTGACTGGGAGTTGAACCATGAACTCCTGGTTCTTAGGTCGACACTCAACCACTGAGCCATACTGGCTTGGCGGGGAAATTAATTTTCCTTCTTTAAACAGAAATCAGTATAAAAAAATATCCTTATGCCGAAACCGGTTTGGCTCAGTGGTAGAGCGTCAGTCTGCGGACTGAAAGGTCCCAGGTTCGATTCCGGTCAAGGGCATGTACATTGGTTGCAGGCACATCCCCGGTAGGGGGAGTGCAAGAGGCAGCTGGTCGATGTTTCTCTCTCATCGATGATTTCTAGCTCTCTACCTCTCTCCCTTCCTCTCTGTAAAATATCAATAAAATATATTAAAAAAAAAATCATCGGGTATATGTACTTTTTTACAAAAAAAAATATATATATATATCACTAATTTTTTTTCCTGTGGAAAATGACAAGCAGTCTTTGACAAAAACAAATAACAACAACAACAAAAAAACCCCAAAAAACAAAAAACACAACAAAATTTACACTGAGAATCACAAGTACATTTTATGAAAAAACTAGATGCCTGGTGCATTAAAATTCATGCACTGGTGGGGAGTGAGGTGTGTTCCTCATAGCCTAGCTGGCCCGTCCGGGAGCCCTCAGGGGTGGGAGGCGACCTAGCAATCAGGGAAAAAGGAGATGCCCCAATCACACCTCTGGTGCTGCCACTGATGGCAGTGCAATCCTCAATTGGCCCTGGTTACCTGAGACTTGTACAGCTGTGGGTGGCTGGGCAGTTGCCATCTGAGACTTGCCTGTGCTTCAGGCTGGCCCTGGGCGGCTAGGGGGCTGCGGGAACTGGGCACTGCAGCTGTTGGGAGCCACCATCTTTGAAGGCGTAATAGTCAAGTAGTATATTCCCTCTTCATTAGGCAGAATTCTATCACCTATTTTCTTTCATTCTATACTAGTGAAGGATGGGCAGGTTTAACTTTCATTTAAGACAATTGGCTATGTTGTTAGGTTGTACTATTTGTAAATGACCAAGAGCATAAGCATCTGGCAAAACAAACAAAAAACTACTTGTCCAAATGGGCCCTGAAAAAGGCCAATTTTAGAGATACACTTGGGCTTTAGACCCTCTTAAGAGATCAAATTCTGGTTCCACCACTTAGTTATAGTTGTGACCTCTGCTTCTTAATCTGCACATGTGAAGTGTTAGTAAAGATAGTTCTTTTCATTCACAACAGTATGTATGAATATATTTGCTGAATACTTATTAACAAGTGTACTGCCATTAGATTAGGATAACCAGAAGCACAGGGTTCCTAGGTGTTATTCTCACAATCACACTGTAGACATCTATCACTATACTCAGCATATAATAAGTCCTTTACAGTTACTGAATGAAAATGGCCTTCCTAGGTGATTGTGTGTTTTTCTTCTTCATACATGAAAATGCCACTTTAGTAACTTCCTCTGTCATTGTAGATTACTTCTTATCTGATTACTTTGAACCAAAAGTACAATAGTCCCCTCCCCCCTCATATGAAGTCATCTGTGGTCAGAAATATTGTATAGAAAAATCCCAGAAATAAGCAACTCATTTTAAATTGTACACTGTTTTGAGAAGTGTGATGAGATCTAGAGCCATTGTACTCTCACTCTCAAGAGATCAATCATTTCCCTATGTCCAGCATATCCACACTGTATATTCTATTCATGTTAGTCTCTTAGTTGTTGTTATGAGATCAACAGTTCCAATATTTTAAGTGCTTGTGTTCAAGAAACTCTTACTTATCCTAATATATAAAAAAAAGCCAGGGGCCATTATGGCCAAAACCACCAGACGGTAGACCAAATACAGGCTACATGGGGCAACCAGGCTGGTAGGGGGGTTAGTGAGGGACGACCAAACGACTGAACAGCAGGTTGCATGGGACTACCAGGCCGGCGGAGGATGGGCAGTTCAAGGAGACCAGGCCAGCAGGCAGAAGGGGTTAGGGTTGATCAGGCTGGCTGGCGCCAGTTCAGGGCAATCAGGCAGGTGAGCAGTTAAAAGCTAGTGGTTTGGAGGATTGTTTAGGCCCGATCCCAGGGATCTGACATCCCTAGAGGGGTCTTGGACTGGAGAGGGTACAGACTGGGTTGAGGGACAAACCCTACCCACCCCTGTGCACAAATTTCGTGCACCGGGCCTCTAGTATTATATTGCTTATTTCATAAAGATTGTTAATCTCTTACTGTTCCTAGTTTATAAATTTACTATCTGTGGTTTCAGGCATCCACTGGGGGGTGGGGGGGAGTCTTGGAGTTTATCGTATCCCCTGAAGAAAATGGGGACACTATTATAATACCACACGTATACATTTTTCTTTGGTACTCTAGAATTTAACCTATGCCATTTTGGCTACTACCGTGTTTCCCCTCAAATAAGACATCCTCCGAAAATAAGACCTACTTACAGGTTTCCTTCTGAGTGAAATATAAGGCATCCCCCAAAAAACAAGTCCCCCCCACCCCCCCAGGCTAAACATGAGAGATTTGGTCCACTGATTCTGAAAGAAATTAAGTCACAAGAAATTCACCAGGAAATTCAGGAATTGGATTGTTATGATGATGTTCCAGAAGATGATGACATGATTGTCACTGAATAAATGAGTAAATTCTTTAAACTGTAGGATTCAGTTTGCCTGGTTTGTGTTGACAACTACCGTACTACCATATATAGGTAATAAATTTCCTTTAACAATAAATGTGTACCATATTCTTCTTCATGGAAAAATAAGACACCCCCTGAAAATAAGACCTAGCGCATCTTTGGGAGAAGAAATTAATATAAGACACTGTCTTATTTCCGGGGAAACAGGGTAACATATATAACTGTCTTGACAGTAATATACAATGTCATATGTGCCAATAGAAAAATTTCTAGTTTCAATTGGTAAATGGTTGACAAATAAAAATGTTTCCTTTTTATATAATCACAAATTTAAGAATTATTATTTGTAATGACCTTCAAACATCTGAATGTTTATAGTGATTTTGGAATGCATTCTTGCTCAATTATTCGTTTAAGGTTTTAAAAGTTAATCAGTGAAAGTCCAAAAAAATAATAAAGGAAATGTAGAACATACCCATTTTCTTGTAGTACTCTTCCCAAGCCTTGGTATAATCAACCTGTCCAGCTGGAGCTGGATTCTGTTGATCACCTTGTTCAAGAAAAAAGAAAAGAAAAAAATAGATTAAAGTTGCCAAGAGACAATTTGGGCTTTTCCTTCACTTTCTTGAGTGGAAGAGTTGGGGGAAGGAAGGTTGCTGTGTGACAATGGTATCCCTGCTGGTGTACACTAGGGTACAAAGTTGGTGGACAGAGAAGATAGTCTATGTATTTGGAAGAGTAGTTACACTGAGCATGTAAGTAAATTCATTTGTCCAATAAGAAAACACACTGAGGATACCAGGTCCCTCACCATTTTTATACATTAAAAAGGCTAAAAAAAAACAAAACAAAAACAACAACCTTGAAGTTCAAGAATGTAATTAATTGTAGGTGGTATGAATGTAGTCTGAAAAAAAAATATATTTTACATACATTTAAACACATATACATACTTATGTAGGTATGAATGTATTTATGTAAATTACATAGCTCTGTACATTGAAAGGAGCTAGAAGCAATCACACCACAGTAGCAATGAACATTCTGAGTTTGGTTTCTAAATACCATCGTTTACTAAAAGGAATCAGGGCTCCTTGGAAAAATGACTGATTCTAGGGCTGGAGCCCTGAGAGCACAAAATGAGCACCTTATTCTGCAAGAAATTAAGAAAATGCTTGGAGAATGACAGGAGCAATCTTGAAGGTACTCCTGACTAGTAAAACCTAGGACAATTTCATATTCAACACATACAGTTTAAAATACAACCAACTGAATAAAACAGGACCTATACTGATATAAAGAAGTAAGCAGGAAGGGGGGAAGCTCTTTTGACAATAAACTACCAACTAATAAATGTAAATTAAATTATGGGAATAGAAATTACCATAATTGTAGCTGAATGAATGAGGCAGGTATTAATCAATGAAAGCGAAGGCCAATGAGACACAGATTAGTGGTTTAGTATCACCATAACTATGTAGAAAATAGTAATTTCAAAGAGAAAAATGGTAATTCTATGGTATAGAAGCCTGGAAGACACCAATATAACCAAGTCACCATGTTTTACCTCAAGCACAACAGTTCTATATGGCAGATAACTAAAGGTTGCCATTTCCAGGGCTGAAATAGGTCAACATTTTATGACCTCTTGATGTAAAGCACAAGAGCACATCATAAATATTCTTGCCATACCACAAACAGGACCTCATAAGCATGACATCATTTTCATAACAAAAGATTAAAGGGCCTAGACTGAGCATCATCCCACAAAAGGTCTGTACTCTTAAAAACAAACAAACAAAACACAAAAAACCCTTTTTATCCTGATTGATGAGACAGAATAGACCTGACAACTCATAAAAACACGTTACCAGATGGGATCCTGGATCAGAATAAAAATTGTTGGGACAAATGGTGAAATTTGAATTAGAGACTGTGTACTGGGACAGTAATAATGTATCAATATTGATAAACTAATGTGGAGGGCCTACATGATGGTCATGGATTTTTGGAATAATATAGAAAGGAATATTTTAAATGAGACATCATTTCTACATCTTGGCCATAAATGGTTCTGACAAAGACTAATGATAATAGACATGGACACATGATAAGAGAATAAAAAAATAAATAAATAAGGGAGGGGGAGTGTTAATAAGGGATGAAACACTAATAACTAGGGTAAGTGGGTGTTCTCTAATATATCTTACAACTTTTATGCAAGTTTGTGACTAAAAAAGTAATCTATATTTAAAAAGTCTGCTTATCAATGTTGTAAGAATTAGGAATTTTTAGGTATCACATTCACTTTATATATAATTCCAAACATAAGTTTTCTTTCTCTCACATGCACATGCACACACACACACACACACATATATATATAAAAAAATTGTTTCATTACCATAGTTACCTTGTCCATTGGTTTGGGCTGTAGTTGGTGCACCAGTGGGAGCTGCAGGTGGTGGCTGTGCTTGCTGTTGATAATAGTGAGCATAATATGCAGCCCAAGCTGCTGAGTTTGGATCTGTTCCTGCTTTAGCTAGAATAAACAAACACAAGTTCAACATTTGCACCTAAAGCTCATTATTTTCTCTCTCTCATATACACACACCCTATAGCAAATACATAGAACCCAAAATTAACTACAATTAAAAGTGATAGAAACTTTCAAATTCGCCTATTATTCTCACTGTTACCCCTAGTTTTTATAGAAAAAAGAGGTTTAGAGATTAAGTGGCATTCCTAGGTCCTAGAAAACTAGTTGGTGGCAGGATTCAGATAGGAATAAAGATCTTGCTTTGTCTCAAAACATCCTGTTTTCTTCCTAAATCAGTTTTGCCTGGAGCACAACAGTTCTATATAGCAGATTAGTAAATGAAAGGATTTCTAGGTACTAAAATGTACAAGAAACAATACTATATAGTAGATATAATATGCAAATGGTCATTACATAGTGAAGCTTAATGACAGACTGCACCATGGATCAGCAGGAGCGTGGGGCAGTGAGCTACAAGCAGGCAGCGGAGAGCTATGAGGGGGGAGGGAGCTACTGGAGGGCAGCAGCAAGCTACTGGCATGCAGATTCCTGCACAGGGCTATAATTATTATAGAAGTATGAACTTTCTCCTGCCTTGTTTTTAATAAAGACAACTTAATCTTAGAAAAGGAAACAGATTAGCCATATTTCATCTCATCGGATTTCAGTGATTATCCTAAAACATAAACTTGATGTCATAGTCCTACTTGAAATTCTTCATTTATTTCCTAGAGTCTTCAAGACCATCTAAACTCTTAGGTACAGCATATAATCCATTATCTTTAAGGATCTGGACCTCCTGGATTATTCTTTCCATTCCAGCCTCATCTTCCCTATGTCAATATTTTTCTAACACCTATATTCTAACTACAATAAGCTGTTTATATTTTTCAAAAGTGACCTGGGCCTTTGAGCATGTTATGCTTCCTCTGCTCTTGGCTCACTTTCACTTATTCTTCATAAAAATCAACTGATACATGAACAGTTTGAGACTTATTTGAAACAAATCCTCTATTGATTCTATACTTTATACTAAGAGTATCATATGGTATTACAGGTATATCTTTATTAGTTTATAGCCTCAAGAAGAATGTCCTTTTCTTAGAGTTAGCATCTATAATGTAATCTGTTTATAGTCTTTACCCCAAATGGGCAGCAATTTTTATCTGCTTAATAAAAGTGAATGAAGTTTGAGAAAAAAGGAACAAGGACTTTTAGAGGGATATAATTTTTAAAAAAATATATTTTATTGATTTTTTACAGCGAGGAAAGTAGAGGGATAGAGAATTAGAAACACTGATGAGAGAGAATCATTGATCAGCTGCCTCTTGCACACCCCCTACTGGGGATGTGCCCCCCAACCCAGGTACATGCCCTTGACCGGAATCGAACCCGGGACCTTTCAGTCTGCAGGCTGATGCTCTATCCACTCAGCCAAACCGGTTTCGGGTAGAGGGATATAATTTAAAGGTGATATAATTTCAAGACATTACACCATCCTCCTAATCTTTCTCAAGTAAGAAATGAATTGCTTTTTTACATTGCATATTTATGTCTCAATAATGTCATTACCTGTATACGAATAAATACAAAATATTTTCACTTGATACCATGTCTGGATAGAGAAAGCGAGATAAAAGACTTTAGGAAGTGATACTGATATTCCTGAATGAACATCATGTAAGAAAAACAGTCTTAAAGTGCATTAAAGCAACAGTAAAGAAAATAAAAAGATGCCATCCAAGTCAAAAACAGAAAACGAGCCTCATGTTTACATACAATACATAAAGAGAACTTACTATCATTCATTTAACGTAATATTCATTTATTCATGTATCACTATTCTATCATAAGAAAATATAGATTTAGAAGGGTTAAAAATGTGCTTTGTTATACCACAATTACTAAATTGTAAGATTAGGATTTATCTAGTTCTGTTTCATTTTGAGGTCTAGTCTTTTGACTCTATGTAAATGCTTAACAGCCCATTAATTTTTTTTTAATCAAAACAGATTTTAGTTCAGAGAATATTGATTTTATTGTCAATATAATTTCAATCAAATCATTTATTTGGTTTTTATATAATGCTGTCTAATTTAAGCAATACTATCTAACTTTAGTCTATGGATTCTTTCTTTCCCCAAAGCAATGCTAGAAACCACATTCATTAACCAATTGTTACTTTATTACTACTCCAAGTGGAAAAATGAGATTGTGATAGAGACCATTTCTCTATTCCCATCATTTTCTCAATCATGCTATCTACCCAAACAGTGCTCATAGGTGCTACTCTGCAGATCTAAGTTGCCCAATAGAAATTTGCCCCTTAACTTACCCAACCTGTTGAATCTCTTAAATGGTGATTCTTTTTTGCTTATCACATCATCCCAATTAGTTTACAAGAGGGAAGAAAATACTTTCATCCATAAAAGACTAACTTTAGACTACATAATAATCACATTTGACTCTTCTGTAAGTCCTTCTATCACATTATTGCTAACACTTGAAATGCACTCTTCTGCTACAGAATATAAACTACTTTTTGCACACCCAGATCCTCAGCACACTCAAGTTGTTTAGTGGATGTTGTGGCTATTGGGTGACTGCCTTGCTCTGTCATAATTTCCAAAGAATACACTTCCTTTAAAATTAAAGTATGCTATAGAATCTAGCGGCCACATTTAAATACCACAGTGTTTCACCTAATTTTTTTAGGTTTTTAAAAATACAACTATTAGCTAGTGTGGAAAGGAATCCATGATTAGTACCTTCCTTGAAAATACTCCAGTGAAAGAGGTCTAAAGGTAGATAGTAGGTGAGAAAAAATAATCATAAACAATTGTTAGATGGTTTCGATAAGTGCCCCTTTGACCATCCATAGTGGAGGGAAAATAACATAGAATTGAACAGAAATATATATATATAAAATCCATATCTAAGCAGAGAAAATTTGAAAAAAAATGTAGAGTTTTAACATGCAGATATTAAATACAGACCTGATTTTTAGAAAAATATATTTTATTGATTTTTTACAGAGAGGAAGGGAGAGATAGAGAGCTAGAAACGTCGATGAGAGAGAAACATCGACCAGCTGCCTCTTGCACACCCCCCACCAGGGATGTGCCTGCAACAAGGTACATGCCCTTGATCGGAATCGAACCCGGGCCCTTTCAGGCTGCAGACCGACACTCTACCACTGAGCCAAACCGGTTTCAGCCAGACCTGATTTTTTTTTATTAACAGGTAAAGTTACTGTATCTAGAATACTAAAACAGACAACTTAAATATCTTATTTGAGAACTTAGGAGTTTTAATGTCCAAGTATTAAACACTCCATTTAGACTCGTAACATACTATATACATGAAATGGCACTAGGACCTAAGGCCCAAGACACTGTACTTCTTCCTATAGCTTTTGGCTTTTAGCACTCTGCTGTATAATTTCAAAAGCAGAGAAAGCCAAACACAGCTTGAAAAAGGTTCCATGACAACAGACCATATTCACACCAGTTTTACACACCGGGGTAGAACCAGAACCTAACATTCCTGTTGAAAAAGTGAAATATGTGCAGAAAATGGCACACAATGTAGAAACTAAACTACAAAATATAAGAATGTAATAGGAGTAAAAAACAATACAAATTACACAAGGATAAACATCTTTTACCTGGATCGGGAGGGGCCTGTTGCTGCCAGTGTGGATATGCATTTCCCCATCCCTGGGGAGCATAAGGAGCTGGAGGACCACTGAAAAGATATAAAATCAATGTAAGTATATGACTTACAAAAGCTAGAATCTTTGGGGGAAAGCACAAACAAAACCCAGTACTTACTGAGGAGCAGGGCCAGGTGGTCCCGGATTATAAGGTGCAGGGTTGTATGGTCCCATTGGAGCTCCAGGCCCAGGAGGCCCAGGAGGCCCATGGGGCCCTGGGACACCATGGGGCCCATGGGGAACAGGTGGTCCTAAAGGATTTACTGGGCCCTGCAAAAAAGCAAAACGACTTCCAAAAATCAGAAAAACAACAATGGCCAAACAACTCAAAGGCCAATTACTGGGTCATGCCTGGATTGTGGGCTCAGTACAGGAGGGAGTACTAGAGACAGTCAATTGATGTGTCTCTCCCGTTCTCTTTCTAAACTCAATGAAAACATTTACTTTAAAAAATATATACTTAGTTGATGTCTTCTTTTTATTTATCTAACTTGGAAAAACCACTATATTTAACTGCCCTAAAACACTCCTTTCATTTCAGTTAATATTTACCATGAGACATTTTGGACAAAATTATTTTTAAACTACATTTGGTAGTCATTTTCTCATTACAAAATAATGAAGCTAACCTTCGTGATATTTTTCCTTTTTAAAATATTTTAAAATGATTTTGAGAGAGAGGAAGGAAGAGGGGAGAAATACCAATGTGAGAGTGGAACATTTATCAGCCCTCTCCTGCTGGGGATCAAGTCTACAACCCAGGCATGGATCCTGACTAGGAATTAAACCAACATTTTTTTTCTTTTTTCTTTTTTTTTCTTTAATATATTTTATTGATTTTGTACAGAGAGGGAGGGAGAGAGATAGAGTTAGAAACATCGATGAGAGTCATCGATCAGTTGCCTCTTGCACACCCCCTACTGGGGATATGCCTGCAACCAAGGTACATGCCCTTGACCGGAATAAAACTCGGGACTCTTCAGTCCCCAAGCCGACGCTCTATCCATTGAGCCAAACCGGTCTCGGCTAAACCAACCTTTTAATGCACAAGAAGACGTCCAACCAACTGTGCATTAAAAGGCTGGTTAATTTTGATTTCCCAGACAGAAACAGTGTCAAATTTCTTTTGCACACCATTCACAGCATGGCAAACACCAAGGAGAATTTTTCTAAGAAATTCTAATTATTATCAATAGTTTAAGATGCTCGCTCACACCCAATATTCTTTATAGTAAAAGAAAACAGTAAAGCACCATTCACCTCATTTATAAGAAAGAACAGTCAAGACTTTTCATATACTTTTGTACCACCAGCAAACTTTTCTAGCAGAAACATTTTCAAGCTTGGCCATGCATTAGAATCACCTGGTCCATCTTTCTAAAAGTAAATGTTGGGCTCTTTTCCAGACATTCTGAATGAGAACTGTGTGTCATGTGTAGAGGTGGAAAGCACCCAAGTAGTCTACATTTAAAACTCCCCAGATTACTGCCTAAAGATTAGGATTTATAAATTTCTACTTTAAAGTGGGATGTAGTTGATTCATGTTTGTGTCACTAGGGTTACATGTAGTAAAAGCCTGAAATAAACACTGAATTCCTGTTAACTATCTGCTTTAAAAAATGTTTCACAATTCTACACCAACCTTTATATATCTGCAAGTAATGCTATCCTCTTATCTACCCACACCAATATAAGGTTCTGAACATCTATTATATTTAGTTTACTTTCATTACTAGAAAATCTTCTTTTATATTATCTATTATGTAATAAGCCCTATAATTTTAGATTAGAACCTATGCTATAAATTGAAGTTTAAAGCATACTCACACCAATCTTTTCTTCTATGAGTTGCCGAGCATAGTCTATTTGCTGTGGAGTGCCACGAATTGTAAATAACTTCATATTAGGATCTGCATTAGGTGGAGGATTTCTCTGCAGTTCTATTCTTGCACCAGACTGTTGGCTTATGCTTTTTATGGTTTCACCTCCTAAAATCAAAACAATTATTTCTCTAAGAATTCAAAGGATACAAGAAAAGGTATTTAAAGTAAAATGGAAGTAACAAACCAACTAATAAATATAAACTCATAGATACAAACAGAATGATGATTACCAATGGGGAAGGGCAAATTAAGCAGAGGGCCAAATATGTGGCAATGGAAAGAAATTAGACTTTGGGTATAGAGTATAAAATAGGGTATACAGATATACTAGATGTACACCTGAAGTTTATATAATCAATATTACTTCAATAAACTTAAAGTCACAATTAAATGGGTCATTAAGCTTTGACCAGTAGTCCCTCTGCCAATATTCTCTTAAGATTTTCAATTATTCTATATTTTATTTTATTTTTTAAAATATTTTTTATTGATTTTCTTACACAGAGGAAGGGAGAGAGAGAGAGAGCCAGAAACATCGATGAGAGAGAAACATCGACCAGCTGCCTCCTGCACACCCCCTACCAGGGATGTGCCCGCAACCACTGTACATGCCCTTGGCTGGAATCGAACCTGGGACCTTTCCGTCTGCAGACTGACGCTCTACCGCTGAGCCAAACCGGTTTCGGCTCAATTATTCTATATTTTAAATCAAACTGTATAAAGCATTTCATGCTTCTATTAAAATACATTTGAGTTTTAACACATAATTTAGTTTATCTGTACCTAATTTTAAAATGGATAACTTATCAAAATCAAAATATTTAGTTCAATTAAACTACTTTTACAAGCAATATAAAGAACAAATTAAAAAATTTTGAAAATTTGAGAACACGTGTGTCAGAAAACAGCAAAGTAAACAAAAACACCCAGACACTTTTGGGGTCAAAAGAGGTTTCTTACACTAATAATAAGCTGTTGGTCTCTTCTGGAAGCCCAGGTGAATCAAATCCTACTCTTTTTTTTTTTTTTTTTTTAAGTATATATAAGGCCCTTCTCATTTATGCTTTAGCTATTACACATCAACATAACACTTTTCTACTAAAATACAGCTCAGGAAAAATCACCACCACTTGTTTAGAACAGCAACAGATATATCATTAGAAAAATTAATAGGTTAAAATCTTAACCCTACATTAAAAGATTAAGAGTTTAAAATACATTGCCTTTTCCTATTATTAATCCAGTTTTCCCAGTTGGTACAATGAAATTAAATTCCTGGAGTCCACCAGGTGGTCCCATGTTCCAGTTGCCTTGACCTCTACCTCTCCCTCGACCACCAGGTCCAGGTCCACCAGGATTACCAGCCTAAAGAGAAAGACAAGAAACGAAGTCAGTATAAAAATACACTCTTCTTTCCATAATAAACTACATGTCTATTTTACTAAATTAGAAATTTAGAAAAGTTGGGAGATAACTTGGTACAAGTAATCAGCCAGTAATAACCACCATTTATTCATTTTATAATGGAATGAGTAAGGTAGCTAGCTTTCTTCCTGCTCCAAGATGTCTGCCATAAAGCAACTTCAAACTTTTTAGTTATTAAACAGATTCTGATATAAAATAAAGGGGGGACTTTCAGATTTGATGAAGGAAATTTTTAAAAAATTTCAACCAAGTTTAATTTTTTATTGATTTAAGAGAGGAAGAGAAACCACCACCGGTGGGAGAGAATCATCAATCAGTTGCCTCATGTACAGCCCCAACCAAAGATCAAGCCTGCAACTTAGGTGCGTGCCCTGACAAGAAATTGAACACGCAACACTTTTGGTGTATGGTATGACACTCTAACCAACTAAGACACCTGGCTGGAGCTGAAGAAAATTTTTTTTGAATGAAAATAAAACAAAAATATTATTAGTATTCTATCAACCTGAACACTTCTAAGAAGGTCTGTAATAATTTCTGCAGCATGTTGGCATCGGTCTGGAGGTCCTGTTATTTGCGCTATTCTGTCAGGTGTTGTTCCATCATCTTCAAAACAAAAGAAAAAGAATTAATTTAACGTTAAATGTGTCACTGTCAAAAGTAATTGCTACCAACACTCAGAAAATTAAATGTACGTACTCACCTGGCTTAAACTGAATTCGAACACCAGCATCATTTTGTATTTTTTTAATCATTTCTCCATTTCTTCCTATTACAATGCCAACAGCAAATCTTGGAATGGGGACCTGATGCAAAGGAGACCAAGTATTAAAAAAACAATGTACTATAAATAAAGCTGCCTCAAATCATAAAAAAAAAATTACAACACTCTTTATATCGAGTAGGGTAAAACAAAACACAAAAAATACTACTATATTCTAAGGTGGAAACTGGGAGAAAAAAAAAGTATACAGTGTTAGAGTAGGTTATGTAATACAAAACAGGAAAAACACTATTTATTTTACTTATACATTAGCATGAAACTATTTCTGAATATTTTTACTTACATCTATCCCTTCATTTCCTCCAATTCTTGACCCATACTCATTTCGAACTTCTCTGAAACCACCTTGATCACGAATTAACTCTAACACCATTTCCTTGGCTTGCTGAGGAAGAAAAAAATTACCCAATTTAGAAAGCATATCTCAAAATATTGCAATTTATTCATACAAATTTTGCTATTTCTGCACCCACCCCAACCCTTCTTTGTAAAATATAAACTTGTTTACTTGAACTTTGTATGGATCTCCGGTAATCCTAAGAGGTTTGTCAGCACCAGTATTCTGAGGTCCATCCTGAATCATAACCATTTTAACTCCAGCTCGTTCCTGTTCATCATAAAAACAAACAAAAAACAACACACACAGTATTAATAAAAGGGGAATGGAAGGAAATTGGCTTCAAAACAGATGAATAGTAATATTTTATAAATAATAATACCTGAAGTTGTTTAATTGTCTCTCCTCCCTTTCCAATAACTAATCCTGCTTTGCTAGCTGGAATCATTATTTCTTGAACTGCATTTCCTGGTCCATCGCCATGATGAAAGCCAGGGGCTGGTCTTCCTTTTTCAACAATCTGGTCCAGTAATCGTTTTGCTGACCTATTAATAAATTAACAGTCAATTAAGTTGTAATATACCCCAAAGCTTATCAAAGAGAAATACAAAATATAACCAGTTACTTCTTCCAATTCCAGTTTAGGTGGCTTAAAGCTAAATTTTAATAATTTCAATTAAAAGAAAATGCCATTAGGGTCAAAGATTGAAACTATTCAATCAAATTTCTAGGTATACAATTTTTAAATAAATATTTTTGAGAACACAAAATTTCTAAGTAGCACTCAAATTCCAGAGTTACTGCAATATTAAATTGATTCTTAAGAGGACTAAATAACATTTTTAAAATATGTATTTTTGTTGATTTCAGAGAGGAAGGGAGAGAGGTAGAAACATCAATCACAAGAGATAATCATTGACCAGCTGCCTTGTGCATGGCCCCTATAGGGTATCAAGCCAGCAATCCAGGCATGTGCCCTGACCAGGAATAGAACATTGACCTTCTGATTCATAGGTCAATATTCAACCACTGAGTCACACCTGGCTGGGCAATATTTACATTTTTAAACCATCACTTTGGTCACTCAGATGTTAAAATGCATTCATTCAATAAATACAAAAAATGTCATTTATATATAAGGTTTCGTTCTAGCTAATGGGGATACAGCACTAAACAAAACAGACAAGAGTTTCTTCTGGCATTGATCAGTGATTTTGCGTTGTCCCATGAACCAGGATGTCACTATTTGATTCCTAGTCAGGGCACATGCCTGGGTTGTGGGCTTAATCCCCAATAGGTGCTGTGCACAAGGCAGCAGACCAATCATTGATCCTCTCATCACTGAATTTTTTCTCCCTCCTTCCTTCCTCTCTGTAGTAAATAAAAACATATTAAAAAAATAACATGTTAAATAAATTACATGTAACTTGGGAAGGGCTATAAGGAAAATCAAAAGCAGAATAAAGATAGAATGTGTATGCATGTGAAGAGACGTTATTTTATGGAAAGTAGATATGGGAGACCTTACTGGTAAACATTTGAACCAAAACCTGAAGGAAGAGGGAGAGGAAATGTGAAAATATCTGGGGGGGAAAGGTTCCAGAAAGAATAAATAGAAAGTGCAAAGACTTCAAATGAGAAGCATGATTGAAGTGCTAAAAGAATACAAGAGGCTACATGAGGCTAAAATAGCGTGAGTTGGGATAATGGTAAAAAAAAAAAAAAAAAAAAAAGAGAGAGAGAGAGAGAGAGAGAGAGAGAGAAATAGCAGGTAAGCAGGCCATGGTAGACACTGACTTTTACTCTAATTGAGTTAAGCATTACAGGATTTCAAGCAAAGTAATATTATGAATTGACTCACATTCTAAAAGAATTACTATAGCTACTCTGTTGTAAGAATGGATCATTACTGAACAAGGCTAAAACAATGGACACAACATTGTAATATAGGCAAATCACATCACAGATATGGCGGTATAGTATAGAAGGTGGCAAAAAGAGGCTGGATCTCAAATAAATTAGGAATAAAAAATGACCAAGACTTGCTTATGGATAAATGAGGAGAGATAAAAAAATATATGAAAACAGAGTTGTCATACATGTAAGAGATAAATAATTATAAATAAATAAATAAAAGCAAGCTGGGAATGAGCTGTAAAAATATGATTTTGTTTTCTAATAATCTAATGTTTGAGGTACTCTGAGCAGCTAGATATGAGCCTGGAATTTAGAAAAAGAGACCAAGGCGGGAGATAAAAATTTAGAACATAAAATCTATGGCATATAAAGCTATGTATTATATGAAGGTTAATCGAGTAAATTAAGTAATCCAAAGAGTATATGTAGATATAATGCAAGAGGACTGAATTTTGTGGCACTTTTATGTTGAACCCAGGAAGATAAGGCTGACAGCCAAGATAAATTGAGAAAGAGGAGAAGAGAAGTAGGTATCTAGGCAAGTGGTCCACGGTGTCAAACACTGCTGTCAGGCTGAATGAGGAAGCAGCCAGTCACAATCTCGAATAGACCAATTTTAACAGAACAGTGGGAATCAATGCCTGATTGGTGTAAGGTCATGACAAAATGATATACCAAAGTAGAACTACCTATTTATTTAAGGAGTTTTGTTGTAAAAGAGAGCAGAGAAATATAAATGTGGGGTTCAAGAATGGTTTTGGTTAATGTGAGATTTTCAAGCATGTCTGTATGCTATCAGAAATTATCTAGAAAAGAAGGGGAAATTAACAGTGCGGGAGGAAGCTGGTTCAATTGTAAAGACAATGCCCTTCAGTAGAAAGAAGGGCACTGGCCTTAGACACATGATTTTCATACTTACTGGACAGACTCGGGTGTTCCAGTTAACATACAAGACCTTTCTGGAAGGCCACCACTGTCTACAATATAAAACAAACAAACAAACAAATTTAAGGCTAAGAAGAGGTTAGCACATACCATAATTTTCACTAGCTTAAAAATATGCTAGTTTTCTATTCAGTATGAAAATAACATTACCAGGAGCAATCTGTATTTTGCATCCAGATTCCTGCTGTATACGTGAGATCTGTTCACCTCCTCTGCCAATAACTAGAAAGAAAATTATTAGCTGAAAGACTGCCAAGTATGTTTTGACTGTTTTCAAGCTTTAGAAACTAGGTTACTTACTAAATCCAACCATTCCATCTGGGACTTTGTATTCTTCAGTCATTACAGACCTGCTAAAAAACAGAAACAAACCAGAAACTAAAATCTTCCTTCATTGAAAGGTAATTTATTTACATATAAAAGGTATTCTGATGAAAATGGAGGTCTAATGGCTCAAACCAGGGTTCCAGGAACATGTTTGTTTATAGTCAAAATATGGCTTGAGTAAAGTTAGAATCTTAAGGTAACACACATCAAGTGAGAAGGGTATGATGAAAGAAACAGTCTGAAGACATGCAAAGAAGCTGGAGTAGAGTTGAGAGAATGTCATCTCAATTATTTTTTTTAAATGGTTATTTTAATTTACTTCTTCTAAAATGTGCCTAATTAAAGTGCCATCCTTCCAAACTACAAATGTATATCACTTAAAAGGAAAAATTATCATTTTGTATTACCTTAAGTCGAAGGAAATGAAACACACACACACACACACACACACACACACACACACACACACACGGCAGACACATATTCACCGTACACTAACTTGGTTGTGTTTTTACATACAGTTCAACTAAAACTTGCAGATCATTTGAAAAGCATTTGACTATACCTTTGCTGCTGATGCATCGGTGGTAACTGCGTCCCAAAAGCTACCATAAAAAATAAAAATTGAAAAGTTTAAGTTCACATATATTTAATACTTTTATCAAGCAGTTCCAAAATATTTCCCTGATGCACAGATAATACCTTGAAGAGAGTAAAATTTTATGCAGAATACTTAAATCAGTAGGCAAATAAAGTCAATAAAAGGGCAGACATTACTAGCAATGACATAGGGAAAAACAAACAAACAAACAAACAAAACAACCACCACTTTTTTTCAAGTGTGCAAGTATAGATTAAAAAATAGAGCAAGAAAACAATTTTTTTAAAAAAAAGTAAAAAGAAATAGAGCAAAAAAAGAGACTATTTAAAATAACTTAATGGTCTAATCTCATTAATATGTACCTGGCCACAACTGAGAAATCATAAAGATAGATGCACATATCTACAAAGAAATTCATTATAACATAATATTCATTGCCTTCAACGAACTTCAAAGATACCCAACAAAAGACAGGAACAAAACCCTAATTAAAATCCAGTTACTTTATTTTTTAACCCAACTTCAAATAAATACTTACAGTCATTTTGAGGAGCAACTTTCTTAGCATCTGGTTGATCTGCAAAATTAAGTGTGTTTTAATTTTTTGCCAATAAGTACAAATATATGAATCAGTTCCCCCTGCCCAAGCAAGAATAAACATCAATATAAACGTTTATTGAAATAGCTGAGGGTATGATGTAAATTGAACCAAAAGTGCCAAAATGTAGCCCAAACTATTCATGTTTAAAAGATGCACAGACATTTTAAAAAAATTATTTTTGATTGTATCAAATCACTGACCTTAATGTATGTTAAGCACTTTAGAATGTTATAAGACAAAGTATTTAGGTCCGTTACTAGCAAAATATCACATGCTAAAGGCTAATGATGCTTCCCATTGTAGGAACTGAAGACTGGAAGAAAAGAAGACCTATCAAAATGTGAAAAGTTGACATATCAAAAGTTGAGTGTATCAGACAGTGACCACAAAGCTATGCAAAATAAATTTTAAAATGACATTACAAGGCAATCTCAATCTAAACTGTTCTTTTCTTCACCAAACATATCAAGGCATAAACTTCAGCAGAAACTCAAAGCAACTGCATGACTACCTTCATCTACATCCTTTACAGATGAATACAATGCATACCTTAGAATAGACAACTGATAAAGTACTATTCTCCTCCCCCCTTCAAAATTAAATAATTAAACATCAGAATGTTGTACAGCAAAAATTCAGACACATAATCCAAGAAATACTGTGTCCATATCAGAATCCACTGGTTTATTTCACGTTTACATACTAAACACAGGTAATAAATAAAAATTCCTGCCTTTAAAAGGAGAGGGCATTCCCTCCCAGTGTGTTGTACTGCTCGGACTTGTCCAAGAGCCATCTACACATAAAATAAAAAGAATACATTACATACAACATCTGAAGCATCATTAGCTCATTTTTTGTTTTGTATATTAAAACCTCACTGTATGAAACCATGTAGTCCTGGTCAAAAGCTACAAATACATTCTATAGGCTCATTCAGAATCCTCCTCTTAAAAAAAGGCAAAAAGAAATTGTATCAAAATTTCATACATCAAATCTAAAACAAAAATATGTGCTGACTTCTAAGTTCAGAAACTTCAATAATTTTTTTTAAATACAAGGCACTGTAAATCTACTGCGTTAAGCCACATTGAGTTAAACCTGAAACACAAAACAAGGTACTAAAATAAACAAAAATGTAGCAATAAAATGATATAATCTGCAACACACTAGAATAGCAAACTTTGGCAACTTCAACCTTTAAAGTGAAATCTGAAATAACAGAACAATGAAAATATAGCATATAAAATTTAATTCATGTATGATGAGAAAAACCTGTGAAATGTCCCCTAAACATTTTAATTTTCACTCCCCCCCACCCCCAGAATATTAACAAGTCGTCTGTGCAAACTGTCAATCTGGCACAATCTTAAAAGAAGAAAAATGATGTTTTCTAATAAGACAAAACTGGCTGGTCGACTAAAATTTTACCTACCTTGTCTAGGTTTCTTTCCCCCTCTTTCCATTTGAGGGCAATATAAGCCTTACAATTTTAGGAATCTTATGATAAAAGGACATTTGAAAAATTATTTTAACTAAACTGTGTAAAACAATAAAAATACTTATGGCTATAACTTACCTCCATCTTCCAAAGGTCTTTTTTGTCCCCCATAACCATAGTCATTTGAATTCAGTGATGTACCAGCATCACCTCCAATTTTCGCTGCAATCTTAAAAAACAAAAACATACTATCATTAAGAAGAGCACCATAACTACTATATGCTATTTAGTACTCAATTTCCTCATATAGTTCCTGATAAAAAGACAAATTATAGTACACTGCTACCATTAATAACTGCAGAGTTAACAAATAATCACCTAAAATTAAGCTTTTCATACTAGAAAGAAAAAAAAAAGTAATCAATTAGGAACCTTAAAAAGACTGACCAAAAAGCTTTGAAGAAAATCTGGATCCTAATTCTATCTTTGCCACGGCTTTCCCATGACTCCACAGAAGATATGTGTTGGCACGGAATATGTGAATACCTGTGGGACTCTACGGCTGTGCTGTCTAATAGGGCAGACATTAGCTAATGTGGATATTAAATACTTAAAATAGTCCAAATTGGAGATATACTTTGAAGTGTAAAATATAAAGAACTTGAAATTAACTAAAGAATGTAAAGCATCTCAAAAATTTTTATACTGAACACATATTAGTATAGTAATGTTTTAGAAATGCTAGATTAAATAAAATGTGATTTGCATTATATTTCTATTGGACAATCTTGGACTAAAGAAACATGGGGGCCGAAACCGGTTTGGCTCAATGGATAGAGCGTCGGCTTGGGGACTGAAGGGACCCGGGTTCGATTCTGATCAAGGGCATGTACCTTGGTTGCGGGCACATCCCCAGTAGGGGGTGTGCAAGAGGCAGCTGATCGATCGATGACTCTCTCTCATCGATGTTTCTAACTCTCTATCTCTCTCCCTTCCTCTCTGGACAAAATCAATAAAATATATTAAAAAAAAAGAAAGAAAAAAGAAACATGGGGGCAAGAAAGACTCAAAAACAGACATAAGTAATTTTATCCTTAAAGACTTAACTATTAGAGTGGGCCAAATAATTGTCTGAAGTTGACTAAACAAAAATCGTATTTGAAATACCAGCCTGAAGTCACAAGTGGGGCACAACCAATGGACATTTACTGCATTTTTTCTATGAAAGAAATGCAACTAATATTGTTGAGTGCTAACAACAGGCCAAGCTCCACACTATGTTTCATATTCATTTTGTCATTGAATAATCATAACATCTCTATGAGGCAGAAAGTATTTAGTGAAGTAGAGATCTATCTTACAGTTAAAAAAAATTAAAAGAGGTTAATTTAACTAAGATTACATCATTAGACAATGATGATATCCCAATTTCTGCACAATCCCAGGCTAATTACTATTAGGGGGATAATCTCTAAAGTGGATGAAAGGCTCAGAGTTCATATTACATTATTCTTTCACTTTTGAGTATGTTTGAAATGTTCCATGATAAAAAATTAAATGGAAAAATCAAACTTTTGGTAACTGAAATCCCCCAAAGATGTCCTGATGTGGAACTAAACCAACTATACCTCAAGCTTCATTATAACTAACTTGAGTCATAAACCCAATATGTATCACTTATATATATGTTCCCACATACCAACTGTACTTCCCAGGGTTACTAGATTTCCCTTTTTCTACATGCAAACACATATAGCAAAGCATATTAGAATTATATATACTATAGCTTTGGTCTTATTAACTATACTATAGGGTGGTTGTGAGAATTAAATGAATACAAGTTTAGCACAGAGCCTAACATAGTATATTAATTACTAATTAAACAGATCAGTATATTATAATTCAAACTATAAAACAGGGTCTACACATCAAATTTTGCATTTTAAAATTTTAACAATTTTTATTTGTCCTGCTGAAGATATATGTAGTTACATTCTATTTGTGAAAACTGCCTGCAGGAGACTAAGGTATGTGATTTCTCTTTGTTATCCCTAAGGACTGACATAGCCATATTGTGGATATTCGACAAATGAATTTCTGCAAGAACATAATCATTTAAAAAAAAATTTCATTACTACCTAAATTCATTAAAGATATTTCTTGATTCAACTGAATAAATATTAAGTACCTGCTGAGGGCCAGGTTTTGATTGTTCTCATGCACCAGAAATGTGAAGATGCAGGAAGGACTCAAGAAATATTACTAGGCCACCATTTTATTAACATTGTTCCCTCCCTACGAAATAGGAATCTTTGCTTATCATCATAATCTAACGTTGCTATTCTGTTCCAAATTGTTTATTTATTTTTAAAAATATATTTTATTGATTTTTTTACAGAGAGGAAGAGAGAGGGATAGAGAGAATTATCGATCAGCTGCCTCTTGCACACCCTCCACTGGGGACGTGCCGGCAACCAAGGTACATGCCCTTGACTGGAATCGAACCCGGGACCCTTGAGTCCACAGGCCGACGCTCTATCCACTGAGCCAAACCGGTTTGGGCCTGTTCCAAATTGTTTAAAAGTCACACTCAAAGGCTAGTTTTCATTGATGGGATTAATGGTAATTAAAATCAACAATTCTATTTCATAAAATTTTCATTGCATTCAAACAACATAATGCAATTTATAATTATCAAGAACAATTGAGAACTGGCCCCAGCTGGGTAGCTCAGTTGTTTGGAGCATCATCCCCTGGGCCTATACCAAGGTTGAGGGCTTAATCTCCAGTCAGGGCACACACAAGAATCAACAAATGAATGCATAAATAAGTGGAACAACAAATTGATGTATCTCTTTCTCTCCCACTTCTCTCTCCTTTCAATTAAAAAAAAAAAATGACTGAGTAGTTAATTAATTTAGTAGTTAAGCAGAATAGATGAAGTTTGATATTTTTGTTAACTTGTGATCTACCACTGTATAAGATGTTCTTATATCTTTTCCTTCCAAAAAACATAGCATAATACTTTAGACAAGGATATGAAACTTAAAGTTAGATGGGAATTTTGGAAATACAATTCCAATACAAATACAATTTAGGAAAGTAATCTACCACTTTATTCATCTATCTAGTCTCTGTCTGATTCACTTCTATCCTCATATGACATTGAGGAAAAAAGTGGATAAGTCCTGTGCTGGATTTAGCTCACAGAGTGTATTATAAAAACCTACAAATCTCACATTAAAAATAAAGAACTAGGATTCTCTGGGGGGAAAAAAGAAAAAATTTGGCAACTTGGCCTAAATTACCAGATGGCAACAATGAGCTAGCGTAAATGCCACTAGCATTAACTAGGTAAGGGACCAGGAATCCTAACCACTCAATCCTGCTTTCTAACAAATAACTGTCCAGCCAAAAATGCCCATAGGTACACAGCTCTTTGAAGAAAAAGAAGCTGTTCTGGTTAACTCTCCCTTCCAAAGAACACAGATAATACTTTGGACAAAGCAATGAAGCTTAAGGTTAGATGGGAATTTTGGAAATATAATTCTGCGTCCTTTAGTGGTTCAAGTATTAACCTAACTTGTTCCTTCTTCCCAATATTCCACTTATATAAGATGAGCAGCATCCTAAAATGTAATCAGAAGCTAAATTTGGAAACCTTAGATTTAAGATCAATCAAATTGTTACAGCAAAGACATCTATCTATAAAGGATTGTTACATCAAGGGCATTGGGGCAGCTGACCTATTGGTATGAAAAGATTCCAGTTTGAGGACAATTTCCACATTAAAAAGGCAGTTTAACTTAACCAGGAAATTAGAGCTTAGCCAAATCATAAAACCTACTTTTTATTAAAGCAGTCTTTCAGAAGTTGTATCCATCTGTACCTTTTCTCACTTCTTGCCTCACCTCACCCAACACTATCCTCCAGTGACTTCATACTTGGGTTGTCATTGCAAAAACCCCTCATACCTTTGCTCATGCTCCTTTTCTCCACTGGTCAAACTCCCACTTTCTTTAATGCTTTGCTTAAAGTATCAGTCCTTTACTTTGGCAGTTAGGTACCCTACTCCCTGGTGGTGTGAACAGTGCTTTAACTCCTAAGTAAGAACTCTATAAACGTTTATAGGACAAATATTGGGTCGGCAAGTAAGTAATTGCGGGTTTCACACATATATGGCTTCAGTTGAATTTTTAGGTTTGCAGACGTAGTAAAAATGTAAAACACATTTTGTTATTTGATAGTTGGCTATTCAGCTGTTAATCAGTAAAAAAAGTTTTTTGATCTGTTTTGTAGTTTTCGTTTGGCGTTCGTTGAAAAATGGAAAATCAAAAGGAACATTTTCGTCATATTTTGATTTTTTATTTCCACAAAGGGAAAAACGCATCGCAAGCTCATAAAAAGTTATGTGCTGTTTATGGTGACAAAGCCTTAAAAGAACGGCAGTGTCAAAATTGGTTTGCCAAATTTCGTTCTGGTGATTTTTCACTCAAAGATGAAAAACACTCTGGTTGTCCAGTTGAAGTTGATGACGCCCTAATCAAAGCAATAATCAATTCGGACTGTCACAGTACAACACGTGAGATTGCAGAGAAGCTTCATCTATCACATACATGCATTGAAAATCACTTAAAACAACTTGGCTATATTCAAAAACTCGATACATGGGTTCCTCACGAACTGAAAGAATCACAGTTAACGCAACTCATTAGCAGCTGCGATTTGCTAAAGAAACGTAATGAAAATGATCCATTTTTAAAACGACTGATAACTGGCGATGAAAAATGAGTTGTTTACAACAATATCAAGCGGAAAAGATCGTGGAGCAGGCCAGGTGAACCAACTCAAACAACATCAAAAGCTGATATTCATCAAAAGAAGGTTTTGTTATCAGTTTGGTGGGATTACAAAGGAATTGTCTACTTTGAACTCTTACCACCCAACCGAACGATCAATTCTGATGTCTACATTGAACAACTAATGAAATTAAACAATGCAGTTGAAGAAAAGCGGCCCAAATTGACAAATCGAAAAGGTGTTGTATTCCATCATGACAATGCAAGGCCACACACATCTTTGGTCACTCGGCAAAAATTAATGGAGCTTGGTTGGGATGTTTTGCCACATCCACCATATAGTCCTGACCTTGCACCATCTGATTACTTTTTGTTTCGATCTTTACAAAACTCCTTGAATGGTAAAAATTTCAATAATGATGATGATGTCAAATCGTACCTGATTCAGTTTTTTGCTAATAAAAACCAGAAGTTTTTTGAACGTGGGATTATGATGCTGCCTGAAAGATGGCAAAAGGTCATTGATCAAAATGGGCAATACATTACAGAATAAAGTTATTTAGTTCCATGAAAAAATTGTCTTTGATTTTCTTTTAAAAATCCGCAATTACTTACTTGCCGACCCAATAGATTAACTGTCCTTATTATGTGCACTTCTTTATGAAAACCACTCATTTGCATTTGCTTCCTAGAAGCCAGAAACCCAATTCACACATTTAAAAATTCTCCAGTATCTGCCCTAGCCGGCTTGGCTCAATAGATAGAGCGTCACCCTGCGGACTGAAGGGTTCCAGGTTCGATACTGGTCAAGGGCACACACATGCCTGGGTTGCAGGCTCGATCCCCCGTGGAGGGCGTGCAGGAGGCAGCTGATCAATGATTCTTCCTCATCATTGATATTTCTAACTCTCTCTCCTCCCTTCCTCTCCGAAATCAACAAAGAAATATATTTTAAAAAATTCTCCAGTATCTAAGCAGAGTGTGTGGCACATAATAACCCAATATGCCGGTTGAACAAAAATAAACCCTGTCATTATACAAATGTCAAGTCACTATTCAAAACATGTTCAGAATAAAAATCACACGAAAAAAACTGTAGCATTAGTATTAGTGATGACTTTCCCTCGGCTCTCCTGAATATCTTACTATCAACTAGTACAGGTACATTTTTACTTATAATGTGTCCCACATTATAAAAATAAGAGCGATTTGTAACATCACTACCGATTTTACTGATTTTGAGACTGAAATAATCCTTTAACAGGAGGGTAAAAAAAATAATTACGCTAACTCCTAATGTAATCAAAGCACAGCACAAAATTAATTTCCTGATTACCATCTGTTTAGCAGGAATGCCTAAAAATGCCTGGCACCCATGGTGCACAGTGTCATAACGAGAAAAAGATTCTCAATTTTGCTTGCAAAAAGTCCAGCCCAATAGCACACATTTTAAAGTTATAATCATATTAACGTACTTCCCAATAAAGATGGAAGTTCAAATTAAGAAATCTTTACTTCCCGAGGTGCACGTGCTTGCTTTTTTTTTTTTTTTTTTTTTTTTTAAGTTTTCTTGAACGCGAAAGAAGTGCCTTCGGGGCAAATGCATGCACCTACGTAACACAAAGAGGTGGTCAGTTTACGACTCTGTTGAACAGAGAGGCAGATTCAAATTGGAAATCTGGGGTAAAACGGGCCTGAAGCCATTTTGAGAAATAGGGGGGGGCGGGGGGGGAAGGGCTGGTTCTCTCACGGGCACATCCATCCCGCCATGAGGAAGAACTTCAGCCCGGCATTTTAGTCCTTTCCTGAGCCTCTCCCTCGTCGTTGGGGAAGTGAACCACACGGGCGGGTTTAACCGCGAGGAGAGAGGGCTGTGAGCACGGCCCTCACGGCCTGTCCCTCCCCTCACAAGGCTCCGGGTCCGGGGTCCGACCCTGGTTTCCCTCCGGAACTAAACTCCCTTCCACGCCATTGTGTGAAACGGGGCGCGCTTTCTGCCACGGGGGAGCCGTGCTCCACGTGAGGAGGAGGAGGACGCGCTCCCTCCTTAGAGGAGGAAGAAGCGCGTGTGCCGCCGGGGAGGGCGGAGGGAGGGCCACGGCCATCGCCGCGCAGCCCGCGTTGGGGTTACCACGGGCTCCCGACAGCAAGGAACCCGAAACCTAACTCTAGCCTCTGACCCGCACCCCCATCGCGGGGAAACGTGACTCTCCCCACATTTCAAGAGCCCGGAAGAGCGTGTCTTCCCTCTTCCTCAGCGCGAAGAAGTAGCGGCCTACTCCGCCAGCGACCAATTACCGTGAGTCGTCGGGATCCCGCCGCGCGGCCCCGGCTTACCTGCCGGGCTCTCTGCAGCGCATCTTTGAAAGCATCGTTAACGCCTCCGCCGCCGCCGCCGCCGCCTCCGCCGCCGGCTGAGCCAGAGGAGGGCGGAGGGACTGTTGAATAGTCTGCCATCTCTACCCTACTGTGGCCGCTACCGCTCTCCACAGAGACCTTCTACCAGCCAACTGCTAAGAAAGGGAGAAAATGGCGGCCGCGTAGCCTCTATCACATTCTTGTGCGACCATCGTGCCGTAAAGGGGCGGGGATTGAAAGCAGCAAATCTCGCGATGTTTCTCAGCAAATAGCTGTGCAGAGGTGGGGCTTAAGAAAAAAAAAAGGGGGGGGGCGGAGAGGGACAGGCACACCGGAAGATGTCGCGAGAGTTGCGTATAAGATCTCGCGAGAATGTGGTTTGTGAGGGTGCCGCTCTCGCGCGTTCCTGTGTGGAGGCGGTGTGGCTACCCCGTTAGAGAGGGTGAGGTCGGCCCGGCGGCCGCGGTAGGACCGAGTTCCTGTAAGCCTGAAGGAAAGCTTCCTAACGGCCGCTGCCTGAGGGAGTTAGTTTCGGTGAATTTTACGTTGGGGGGGGGGGGGCAATTCTGCGTCTCCATAGGGGGGAGGGTGACGTCACGAGCGTAAAGACGACGCCGCCGGGTCCTGAGGTCCCTGGCGCCGGGAGGCCGCCCAGGAAGAGCGCTCCCGGGTCGCCGCGAGGTGATGCTGCTCCTGGAAACGTCCACCGGGTCTAGCGGCATGATTTTCAGGGTAGTAAAGCGCCCTTGTATTTTACTTCTAGATGGTTAGGGATTTTTTTTTAGGTTTTTTTTTTTTTTAAGTTTTATCACAAGTGGGGGTGAATTCAGGCTTGTTACCACGTGAGATGATTTGGGTAAATAATGTGGATGAGGCTGTGATAATATGACTGCTTTCCCCCCTCTCCCCCCCCGCTCCTTTTTATCTTTTAAAAAACGTAAATTGTTCCTAAAACTCAGTTTCAGCCAGATTTAGTTACCTAGGATTCTGTGTGTCCAGGACCAATTTCATTGAGATCCTTGTAATTAAGAACAACTTCCTTTTCTTAATCCCAAAAGTGACTTTGTAGCTTCTGTTTAGTTTTCCCCCCACCCAGCCCCACCTTGTGGAAGGTAATGTTCTGTCATTTTAGGACCAGATCATTGCTTCCTTATTTTCTGTTAATCTACTTCAGTCACCAGATCATTTCAGCTCTTCAGACCTTTCCCAGTAATTTCATGCGTTAAAATAGCAGGTCCAGACGTGGAGGATGCTGTGGGAGAGGATTACAATGGCTTTTTCCAGATCCTCTCCTTTTAGGTAGCAAAGAAGGAGGTAAAATGAATTTTACCAACTTTGGCATTTTATCTTTTGTTAATTAGGTCTATAAAGTATCTTTCCTATTGCTGGTCTTGGAGTAATTGAGAGAAATGCCTGCTGCAGTCTTCTGGTATCTAAAACTAATGTGCCAAAGGCCCAAAATAAGATAACTAAACAGATAAATGCCCAAAGGCCCAAAATAAGATAACTAAACAGATAAATGCACATACATACAAGTGGGTTATCATTTTCTTCCCATCTTACCCAGTAATAGTTCTGATTATCTTTCCAGCGTATGTAGCCCTCTCTTTAGATTTGGGAGGAATTTTTATTTGGAGAAGTAGTGGATGCATTGGACTACAGATTAAACCAGCTGGTAGAAAGAAAAATTAAAAGCAGTGTTGGGCAGTGTTGTCAAATAGAAGTTTTCTACTTGCATTTTGAGAAAGTGTTCAACAAATGGCATTTATTAATCAGCAATAGATTTTTTATATTTTGTTAGACTTATCAGACCTGATCAACATAGAGTTAATCACAATGATTTAATTGATCTCTAAACAAACTTGATTTCATGTATACAATAATTTTACTTGTCTGAATAATGAAAATAAGGAATGCCATTTCTACGTTTTGGGGTGTGTTTTTTTTTTTTTTAATGTAGATTCTACTAGAAATATGGATATTCTGTGATGGGAATCAGTTGGAATCAGTCTAGATCATGATTTCTCAACTTCAGCACTGTAACACTTTTTAGCCAAGTAAGTTTGTTTTTGCAGTAATACTGTGCATTATAGTATGTTTAGCGTTCTTGGCCTTCACCCTTAAAGGCCAGTAGCCTGTCATACACACACACACACACACACACACCCATCCCCACCACCACCAATTGTGACAACTTGTCTTCAGACAATACAAATGTCCCCTGGGAGGCAAAACCATCCCATGTTGAGAACCACTGGTTAGCCTTGATTCCTGCCCCTGCCTGTATCCATCAGGAAGACTTCCTTACCATACTTCTGAACTATGTATGTTACAAATTACTTTTCACTTCCCTACTCCCAAGGAACCATCATCTCACACCCGACTGTTACAGAAACGTTCTGGTGGTTTTTTAGCTTCCACCCTTACATCCGTATGATTTGTAAAGAAAAGTGCATGATACTCATGTAAAGTCTCAAAGGTAACAAGTACCCATGGATCCACTCTCCGGGAATGTTCTCTAAGGAATAGACTTTATTGGTACTTTTGAATCTCAAGGGGTTGTTGCTAGAGGATTGTATTACAGTTGTTTCTTCTTTTGGCAGCGTGGATGATCTCTTTAAAAGGAAAATCAGATCATCCCACCTCTGTCTCCAATTTCACTTTGAATTTTACCTCCTGGAGTGAGTGGTCTAAGGGCTCTATATAACCAGTCCACTGTCTCTGTACCCTCTTCCCTCATTATTCTCCTCCCTCTTCCTCCCCTTCAGCTGTCTGGTCACCGTGTTCATGATCTTTCCTGCCTCTGGGGTTTATGCTTACATTTGCCTCTGCCTGGGATGCCTTTGTAGACCTTCACATGGGTGGTTTGCCATCCTCCTTCGGGCCTTAGCCATACGTAACCTTAGGCATACGTAACCTTAGAACATCTGACCTCTGGTTGTGCCATTCTACACCACTATCCATATTCTCTTTATAGCACTTACCGTATTTTTCGGACCATAAGATGCACCGGACCATAAGACGCACCAGTTTTTAGAGAAGGGAAATGAAGAAAAAAAGATTCTGAAACAAATAGTGTCCTAAAATATTTTATGTGCATTAAAACCCAACATCACAGTCATAAACACATGTAATCAACCCTGTAAAGTAAACAGCAGCATTTAGAACCATTTTAGAGCCGGGCAAGCACACAGAGACCACACAGAGCCAGGCAAGTAAAAAAACTTTTTTTTTAAAGTATATGTGTAGGCTAGATTTGGACCATAAGACGCAGGGACTTTTTCCCCCCACTTCTGGGGGGAAAAAAGTGCGTCTTATGGTCCGAAAAATACGGTATTTAAAACTTACCTAAATTTATCAAAAATTAAAGTGTTTATCTAAAATCTTATGTTCTGTATGTTTACTTGTTTATTGTCTCTCTTCCACTTTTATGTATCTACCGTTGAGTAGGCCGTAAAACAAAGTCTTAGCATTCTAGCTATTTGTTGAATGAACGAATATTGAAAAAATCTGCCTCTACATTTTAGTTGGTTTTGTGACATTGCGCAAGTGACTTAGACTCTGTGCTCAGATATCTACATACTAAGTATGACCTACTTTGCTATCCTAGAATGAGAAATCTGAGCATTTCAGAAGCTGTAAAGTGTTATGCAAATCAAAATTAGTATTATTAAACATAAAATTTGGCTTCTGGTATATCATAAGGACTGGAAAGGATAATGCATGGTACTTTGCATCTGTAAATTTTTTGGGCTAAACAGCTATGTTCAAATCTTAGTTTTGGGAAGACTATAACCAGTGACTTGACTAGGCTACTTGTGTGTTTGTTCTGAGTCCAGTCAGTCTCAAAGCCATTTGTACTTTGCTGATTATTTTAGATACTTTCATGAAAACTGATGATATCAGACTTTTGTTGACTAACTTTATTCCCCTTTGTAGTGCATATTCTCTTAATTGTGCATGCATAACTGACCTAAAATTAGTTTATTGTGCTTTTTATAAATTGGCTAATATTCAGCTGAATATTATCACAGAAATTGGTATCCCATATTTCATCCTCAGAATGAAGCAAAAGTCAGTATTTTTGAGCTTTAGAAGTCTAGCAAGGAGCATTATTTTTTTTTATAAAGTTTGTTCTGTAGTTACAGGCATATACATAATCTTGAGGCCTTGAGGTCTAGAAACATTTTTAAAAAATTTTTATTTCAAATCCACTTAAATACATTTTTTATCAATAAGGGGCTTAATTAAAATTCCATCACAGTATACTGTAATCCTCTGAGTCTATTGTGGCAAGAGGATGGTTGTTAAGAGACATGTCTTGTGTATTATTAATGGGAGGTCAAATATTTTGGGGGGGGGTGCCATACTTTTTAAAAAAATATATTTTTTATTGTTGATAGTATTACAGATATCTCCCTTTTTCTCCCCCTTCTCAACCTCTTCCCAGCTTCTACCCACCCCCATATCTTCACTGCCCTATTGCTCATGTCCATGGGCTATGCATATAAGTATATAAGTTCTTTGGTTTATCTCTTCTCATCTCCCCAACCCCACATCAAGGTATGTTAGTCTATTTAATGCCTCATGCTTTGGGTCTTATTTTGGTCAATTCATTTTGTTCATTAGATTCCACAAAAAAGTGAGATCATGTGATACTTGTCTTAGTTTGGCTTATTTCACATAGCAAAATAATTTCCAGGTCCATCTAACCTGTCCCAAAGTCTTAAGAGGTCCCTCTTTTTTATATCTGCATAGTATTCTATAGTGTAAATGTCCACATTTTCTATTTTTTGAACCAAATCAATTTTTGTTCTAGGCTAGGGAAATTTTATTTTATTTATTTACTTTAATATATATTTTATTGATTTTTTTACAGAGAGGAAGAGAGAGGGATAGAGAGTTAGAAATATCGGTGAAAGAGAAACATGGATCAGCTGCCTCTTGCACACCCCCTCCTGGGGATGTGCCCACAACCAAGGTACATGCCCTTGACCGGAATCAAACCTGGGACCTTTCAGTCCACAGGCCGACGCTCTATCCACTGAGTCAAACCAGTTTCGGCGGAAATTTTACTTTTAAACAACATACTTTTATTGATTTCAGAGAGGAAAGGAGAAGGAGAGAGAGATCAAAACATCAATTATGAGAGAGAATCATTAGTTGGCTGCCTCCTGCATTCCCCCCACTCGGGATTGAGCCCACAACCTGGGAA